CTCTCAGCTGCTTAAAAGCTCTTTTACTGAAGGAGTGCTGTGTAAAGTTGTGTCATTTGATAGGCAAAAAGCAAGAGCAGCATAACATTCATACACATACAAGATAATTCTTTTGAGCATGTTTTATGTGACTTCCCTCTCTTCTTTCTCCTTCTAGAATGATTCACCTACAGAAAAAATCAGTATTGTTGGAGAGGAGCTGTCTATACTAAATGGGAAAGTATGACTTAGTATCTTCAGCTTTTAAGGAAAAAGAACAGTTCTTGTGTATTGTCTAGGATGTCAATTTTTTTAAGGTTTTGATACTACATATTTACAGCCACTTAACACTGGTTTAAAATGACATCTTTGAAACAGTAATACCCACTGATCTCAGTGGAAACTTCACACAATCAGTATTGAATCTGCATTTTATGCAGAATACAATCATTAGAACCATTCAATAATGATTGATTTTATTAGATGGTTTCTCAGCCCCTGGAAACAAACGATCTTAACCTGAGTATGCAGTATCATTTTAGAATGATATTGCTATACACAGAATAATATCTAAAACCTGACATGGGTGGTTTTCTCAATATTTTATGCTTCTAAATAAATACTTACAGAAAGACTTTTCGGAAAACACTAAAATAATATAAGCAGTTAAGTGATAAGCTGCCTTGAAAATAAATTGCAACTTACTTGTAACTGAAGATTGTAGTGCAAACTTTTCCTGGCTGTACAATTCACTGAATGTTGCCATGTAAATATTTTCTTTTCTTTCTCTCCCTACATGGACTTTTCCAGAATGTGTTAGTAGTAGAGGTAAGTAAACATTGCAGGGGGAGGGAAATGACATGGACTCTTTTCTCCTCATCTTGCAAGTAAATACCTATTGCTTATAAAATAACAATAAATTCTGTTACTGTGCTGCCAGGGTTGCTGACTGTTTTTTATGCTTTAAATTAATCCACTGAAAATCTGTTTTTTTCTTTCAGACTCAGAGGATAATTTATTTTTTATCTCTTTCAGGACATTATTGAGACTGGTAGGACAATGAAGGCGCTACTTTCAAAACTAAAAGACAATGAACCAAAGATGGTAAAAGTTGTAAGGTATGGCCACTTAGTGCAGTGTAATGCGAAGATATAGCAAAATCATTTAGATGAATAGTCAGTGTATGATAGTGGGTGTTTGGTTTTGTTTAGTTTGAAGTTTGGAGAAAGAAGAAGTAAAAGCAGGAAGCAATCCATATCTAGCTGGTGAAAGCTAAGTATTTATTGACCTAGGAAATTCACATATGCACTACCATCTTCATTGTAAGGGTTTCCTGGTTCTTTGCATAGTCCATAAAGTCTGATGGATTCCTTGTTTTTTACCTCCTTATGTTTGAAGGTAATTTAGCTCTTTCCATAGGTTTTCTAACACCTTCTCAGTTCTCTCAATACTAGAATGATAATACTCAGAAATTCTCTTAGTATCCTCAGTCATACAGGTTTGCACTTGCAAGATGATTTCAAGCGGCATTCTAGATCTGCATTTAGATGGTCTCTAAAAGGAATTTTTTGGGAATATTCCTGTTTCTGTTAAGTAATCATGTTGCTTTGAAAAAGCACTTCTTGTTCTATGTACAAGTTCCTCTTAGTGACTGTCCAGGAGGTTCTTGGTATCTTCACAAGTGTACAGGCAAAGCAAGAATGGATATGACTTTGAGGAAGAAATCATAGCAACATCGCACAGCTTGTCCTCTTCTCTGTCCCTCCCTCTCCCTTAATCTTTACGTGCCACTTGAACTTCCTTATCTCACTGTGCTACTCCAGTTTTTTGATACATTGCTACATGAAAAAATAATTATTTGAGATACAGAAGGGACCTAAATGTAAAACAGAGTCATTTGGACCTTTAGAATGAACCAGGACCACAGTCTTCACTTCTTCCTCAATTATAAGGCTCAACACTACTTCTTTCTGTTACCATAATCTCATTCTTCACTGCATGGTTGTAGAAGATTATGAGGGAATGGGGGTGAGAGGGGTGAGAAGTGAAGTACACAGCTTACAGCAAGACATATTTTTAAAAACCATAACCTTCTGTGCTTTGTCTTACAGCCTGCTTGTTAAAAGGACACATCAAAATCCAGGTTACAGACCAGATTGTAAGTATTGCATTTTTCTGGTTGTCCAAAATACGATCTTATAATTTCACTTCATGCAGTAGGTCTGAAAACTGGTGCTTAAGTTTCATGAAGGTCAAGCAAGAGAAATGAGGAGGAAATACATACAAATTTGTAAACTGACAACCAGCTGTCCTATGCTGAAACTTCATGACAACCTTTTATTTTTAATATTTTTTCCCCTGGTGGTTCTGAGTGTAGTTTTGGCTATTTGTTACCAGAAACAGAATCAAAACTTGGTTTTGTGTTGTTTGGCTTTGACCCTAAAAGGCATTTGTTTTGACCTGCATTAAACTTGCCTTGAAATTCCCTACTGAGTTGCAGTGCATCTACTTTTACACAAGTAAAATCTCACTCCTTGTCTCTTTCTCCCACAACTACCTCATAAGTAGGTTTTAAATAATTATTCTGTTCTTAAAATGCATTCTCAGCACTTTAGTTGTACTACTTACTGATGGGGATTGTATAGATTCTAACCTTGGTCATCAGTTTACGGCTCTGATTCTTAAAGAAGCATGCTAAGTACCTTGAAAGCTAGATTATGTATTTTCTGGGTATTACTCTTAAATAGCTGAAGCATGTGTTGAACACAAACTGTGTACTTTAAAGTTATTTATACCACCCAAGTATAAAAAGAACTGTATTTTATTACAGATATAGGTTTTGAAATTCCAGATAAATTTGTGGTTGGATATGCTCTTGATTATAATGAATACTTCAGAGATCTAAACGTAAGTACATATATGTATGCCTTGACTGTTACATATATAACTGTTACCACAGGTAACCAGCAAGAATACTAGCTTACACTAGGAGCTTCTCAACAATTAATAAAACTTCAAATCTGACCAGAGACTTCCATTAAAAAGGCAAAAGCATTATTAACACACAAAGCTGATAATTCAATGTAAATTCTAAGAACTTGTCTATGCTTTACCTTTCTATGAAGCGACTTCACAAGTTTCATGGCCCAGCCATGCTGTACAGTATTCTGAATTCTCCAGGATGGCTAGCAGCATGCAGTCTGCTGGTCCCATCTGGAAATAAATTAATTTTTAATTTGGCTTTGATTTCATGTTAGTCTGTCTTAGTGAAATCCTATGTTGCTCTTTTCTAGCCAAAAAAGCTGTGTGCAGACTGTGTGTGAAGGTTTTTCCTACGCTCTGTAACATGTCCATCATGATCTCTTTTATTTGCTCCATTCTTTGTTCCACAATAGTCTCCTTAGCCTGCATTGAGTAGCATACTCAAAAAGAGCATAACTGACAGAAAGAGATGATCTTTTTTTCTGCCCTTAGATTTCAAAAGTGTTTTCTTAAATCTGGTTAAGTGGAAAAGTTTTTTAACTTGAAAGTCTTATTAAGAAGACAAACCAGTTCCATTAAAAACACATAATGGATCTATGCTATTGCAAAGCAGTATGAAGAAGGATGCAATAACTGTACAAACTAGACCTCTTCAGAATATACAAATCTCTAAATTACAGATGAGCTTGAAAACAAAATTAACATCTCAATTTTACTGCAAGTACTAAACTTGCAACCAAACTCAGAGAGATTACTGTTTTGGTCTTTCTTCCTTACAATGCTAGGAATATGACTGAAAATCATTCTTGCGTTTTCTTCAAAGGAAAAGAGTCACTAAAGTTTGTTGTTGTTGTTGTTGTTGGGTTTTGGTTTTGTTGTTGGTTTTTTTTAGCACATCTGCATTCTGAAAGAGAAAGCCAAAGAGAAATATAGGATCTGATAACACTACTCTTCTGGAACAACAGTTCAGTAGCATGTACAGCTGTGTGGATGACTAATAAGAAGTAGTCTACTAATTGTGCCCTTTTCACTGAAGAACTACCCTGTTTTCTAAAGATGCTATTCTATGTAATTTTCCTACAATTATTATGTAAAATAGCTTAAAGGTACAGTGAAATCTGAACAGATTCACCATAATGGTATTATACCATAATGGGTATTATATTCTGCTGGACTTACACAGGACACAGCCAGGACATGTACATGTTTATATAATTATTATTTGGGTTTTAATTTACTATATGAAGTAACACTGTGTGTATTGTATATAAACAGTATATTTACATGTGAGCTTGTGTATATAAATACATACACATGTACTTTACATAACAAATAGGCTGGATAAGCATTTAAGGATGTGATGTTAATTATGTCAACTGTACAAAGTACATACTGCATGGAAAACACATTTGGTTTTTTAGCTTAATGCAATAAACAAACATTAAGTTAACTAGAATGAGATTAGTTCTTATAGTGAAGGGCTTGTCAAGCATTGCAACAGGCTGCCTGTGGAGGTGGTTGGTCACCATCCCTGGAAGTGCTTAAAAGACAAGCAGATGTCGTACTTAGGGACATGGTTTATTGGAACACTTTCTAAGGCTGGACTCAATGATCTTAAAGGTCTTTTCCAACCAAAACCATTCTATGTGGGGTATTGTCCTGTTTTTTGTGAGGACTGTGTGTTAATTGTACCAGTGTGGTGTTACTTGAAATGCAGTAACACTAATATCTAGTTGTTAAGGCTGGATTATTAACCATTATAGCAGAAAATTACTTCTGCCACTTGTGTATCCCTGAAGAGAACTGGAAGCTAAATTTTACCACACAGAAACTGCACCAAGCTTGAGGTAGTCTCTGACACCTCACTGTTTCCTACCTGTACTAAACGATTAAAGTAAGCTCTGAGACCTTAGGCTTTTTTTTTGCCCACTGTGAATCAAGATGACTGAGCTACATGTCTGTGTTCAAGAGGGTCTGCTGATGTCCTTCAGCTTTTAAGTGTCCTGGGCGAGAGGCGACTGGGCTCTGCCAGGTGCACAATGGAGCTTTCCAGAGCCTCCCGAGAGCTGGAGCCTGTGATGGGTCGTGTTATCCGTCCCTTAAAGCAAGTGGGAGGAGGAATGCTAGCGTCTGTAGGAGTGGACCCCTCATCTAAAGCAGAAGGAACGGCTCACACTGCAGCCCGGCGCTGTCTGCTCGCTAACACCGCGCTTGCTCCTCTGAGGGCGGGCCCCGAGCGCCACTCGGCGGGACGCGATGTCAAACGCATTTCTGCTTTCCCCAGCTGGAGGGAGGACTGCCAGCAGCTAACACCACCCTTCTCTGAGTAAATGTAGCCCGGGGAAGGGGCCCCGGCCACTGCTGCGGCGGAGGCGTCACCACGTCCAACCCGTCCAGCCTGACCCGGCCTTCACCTCGGCGCCCGCCCGAAAGCCGGAACCCCATCCTCTGAGAACACCTGTCCCGTGAGGCGACCTTAGCGTGGCCTGCCCGCAGCCAATCAGAAGGCGGAGCCCCCAGCACTCGCGTGTTGATTGGAGAGAGTGGCCGTCGGTCACATAGAGGGGGTGGGAGGCGACGGAAAAGGGAAAATCTGCTTTCGGGTCGG